CTTTTCTCTGCCAGACCCTTCTACCTTTCTGTTGTGGAACCAGCCAGTTAGGGACTGAAGCCACTAAAAACCATGAGCCAAGATAAACCTCTCATCTTTTAAGTTGTGGATGTTGGGTATTTTATCCCAGTGATAGAAAAGTGACTGAGACATAAGGAAAGTTTTGTTTTTATTCACGGTTTGAATCCATAGTCACTTAGCCTAGTTGCTTTTGTGCCTGTGGTGAGGTGGTGAGGTAGCTCATCACAGTAGAAGTACATGTGATGGCAGAGGAAAGCTGCTCATCTCATGACAGAAAAGAAAAAGACAAAGGAAGAGGAGGAGGAGGAAGAGAAGAAGAAAGGAAAGGGAGGGGAGGGAAGAGAAGAAGAAAAGAAGAGAAGCAGGAGAGAAGAGAGGTCAGAGATTCAGTATCCCCATCAAGGGTGTTCACTTTGGCTTCACTTCCTTCCACTGGGCCCTGCCTCTTAAAGGTTACGCCACTTCCAATAAGCAGCATCACCAGCTGGAGACCAAGCCTTTAGCTCATGGCCTTTGGACTGTGTTTCAGATCCAAACTGTAACAGAGGAAGACTCTAAGTATCTAGCCTGAGCAACCTGGTGAATGCCATTTGTTACACCCTTTTCCTAGGCTCTCTCATTAGGCAGAAATCCAGATAGAGACATGGCTGTACATACACATATGGAAGTAGACATGAATTGGTATATAATCCTTCCCTATCTCCCTCATGAAAAACTGATAGGAAACCAGATAGACAGACAGATAGATAATTAAACTGGTTCAAATGACATATCTAAATGGATATCTGTTCTTACTATGCCAAATTTTCATTCTTATTTTCCAAAACTTTTACTTCACAACTGCTTGTTCTGGTGTCAAGTAGATAACATTAAAGTTATTAAAGCTTGCTTAAAAGGTATAGGGAGAGATAGTCTCTGCTTCTTTGAGTGATCAACAAATATTATCCCCACCGTGTGACTAGTGTCTGCTATGCTCTCAGCCAGTGATGGCAAACCTTTTAGAGATGAAGTGCCCAAACTGCAACCCCAAACCCACTTATTTATTGCAAAGTGCCAACACTGCAATTAAACCTGAATATTGAAGTTTTAGTTTAGAAAAAACAACTTTCACCCGATGCTCAGTTTCCGGGGCAACTTGGCTCGTGTGCCAACAGAGAGGACTCTGTGTGCCTGCTGTGGCACATGTGTCATAGGTTTGCCACCTCTGTTCTAGGATAATATGAAAAGCTGTGAACAATGCCTGCTCTCATGAAGCATAAAATCTAGTGGGCATCTAGACTGGAAAGGAAAAGCTCAAACTGATTACAAATGACAAGATCATTTACATAGCAAATCTGATGGAATCTACCAAAAAACTAATAAACAAGGTTTCAGGGTACAAGAGCAATATGAAAGCGAGAACTATCTCTACATATTAACAATGAACAATGGAAATTGTGATTTCAAGCTATAACTTACAATAGCACCAAAAATATGAAATAGGGATAAATTTGACAGTAAATGTGAAAGGTTTGCATGTTGACAACAAAATATTGTGACAGAAATTAAAGAAGACCTAAATAAATGAAGAGATACAAACTATTCACAGGTTGTAAGACTTGATGTTATTAAAACGTCAATTCTTCCCAAGTTGATTTAATGTCTCAATCAATCAAAATCTTAGCAAGCTGTATGTAGAAATTGACAAGCCAATTCCAAAATCCATGTAGAAATACAAAGGTCCAAGAATAGACAAAAATAATTCTGCAAAAGAAGAAGAAAGCTGCAAAGTGAAAAGTGAATACCAATTTTAAGAAGTATTATAAAGCTATATTAATCAAAACAACATAGTATTGTCATAAGAATAGACAAATATATGGAGAGAATAGAAAAGAGAATCCAGATATAAAGTCATATGTATATATGGATTTACATATTTCACATAATTTTATTTTGCAAGGGAGAAAAAGGAAGAATAGCATTTTCAACAAATAGAATTAGAACAACTATATATTCATACGCAAGAAAATGAACTTGAAACCATATCTCACATATCACATGACAAATTAACTTAAAATGAAGCATAGCCCTACATGTTAAATGTAAAACTATAAAATCTCTAGAGGAACACATATGAGAAAATCTTTGTGACTTTGCATTAAGCACAATTCACAGAAGAATGAACCAATAACTTCCATTTCATCCGAATTAATTTCTGTTCTTCAAACTACTGTTAAAAGAATAAAAAGGGGACTCCACGGGCTGATAGAAAACTTTTGCAAAATATAACCTGATAAAAGACTTGTATTCAGCACATATAAAGAACTCATAAAATTTAGCAATAAAAAAACAACATGCTAAAAATGGACAGAATATTTCAACAGACATTTCCCCAGAGAAGACATATAGATAACACAAAAGGCATATAAAAAGATACTGTACTTAACATATTAGGGAAGAAGAAGCTGAAACTGTAAGATGCCACTACACCTACTGGAATGACTGAAATAAACACAAACTGATCATAACCAACTGTGGAGGAACTGAAACTATCATAACCTGCTGGTGGGATTACAAAATGTTAACTCCTTTGCAAAAGAGCTGAGACAGTTCCTAAAAAGTTATGTGTACATCTACCCTGTGATCCAGACATTCTATTTATAAGTACTAACCAAGTAATAATGAAATATATGCCCACTCCTCCAGGATGTGTACGTGAATAATCTTAGCACTTTATCTGTAACAGCCTCAAACTGAAATAATACAATTGTCAGCCAACAGATGAACAGATAAAGAAATTATAGTAAATCCATACAGTGGAATGAGACTCAGAAGTAAATAAAAATAAATGATTAATATATGTAACAGCATGAGTGAATCTTAAAATAATTATGATGAATGAAAAAATCCATACAAAAAGGAGGATAAACTATAAGATCTTGTTTATATAAAACTCTAGAAAATGCGATTTAATCTATAGTGGTGGAAAGTAGATCAGTGTTTGCCTAGGGTGGGGGAATAAGGAGTAGGAAGGAGGGATTACCAAGGGGCAACTTTTGGATGTGACAATGTATTCTTTTTTTAAATCCTGGGTATTGAACTCAGGGCCTTCACACTGAACTACATTCCCAGCCCTTTTTAATTTTTTATTTTGAGACAGGGTCTCCCTAAGTGGTTAAGTTGCCCAAGCTTGGCTCAAACTTTTCATCCTCCTACTGCAGCCTCCCAGAGTGCTGGGATTACAGGCATGCAGCACCACACCCAGCTCATGATAATTTTTGTAAGGATTATGAAAATGGTTTCACAGGGGTAGGTAGGTAACCATCAAAAGTCATCAAATAGACTACCCATTTTAAATATGTAGCTTTCATCAGTCACTTTCCTGTCACTGGGACAAAATTCCTGAAACCCAAATTTAAAAGAAGAAAGGTTTCTTTTGATTCATGGTTTTAGAGGTTTAAATCCATGGTGAGCTGGCTCCAAGGTATCGCTTTGAATGGTGGAAAGGCGTGGCAGAGGATAGCTGCTCAACCAGTGGCAGCCAGAAAGAGCAAAGAGCAGGAGCAGGAGATACCTCCAAAGGCCCATCCTTAGGACTCACCTCCTCCCCCAGGTCCCTCCTCCTAACAGCACTTTCATCTATGAACTCATCAATGGATTAATCCACCAATGAGTATAACCCCTCTCCATGATTCCAATCACCCTCTAAACCCCCCACCTCTGAACACATGAGACTTTTGGAGGTATTTTAGATCAAACTATACCATTATTATTGTAAGTCAATTATATCTTACTAAAGTTTTCTTTTCAAGTTTTCTGGGTCTAACAGTCAATCTCCCCAGAATAGTATACTTAAGGCCATTAACTTCAGCAAAGGACACAAGGTCTGGACCCAGGTGTGTATGTGGACCCTGACATAGACCTCAGGTGATGGCTTGGGCTGTCAGATGAGCTCTTTTCTGGTCATGTTTGAGCATATCTGAAAGTGTAACTATGTGAATAGCTGTGGAAGGAGAGGGTAGTTTTGAAAGGAGGAGGAGGAGGAGGAGGAAGAGCATCTGTGAAAGAGGGAGCATCTTACAGGAAAGTTTTAGAATGAGGTGGGGTGTGTTCCCCTCAGTGCAGAAGAGACGCTGTGGTGGTTAATTGTAGGTGTCACCTGTCTGGGATAAAGGATGTGCCCAAAGAGCTGCTAAAACATTCTTTCTGGGTGCCTCTGTAAGGTGTCCCTGGAGAGATTCACATTGGAATCAGGGAACTCGGTACAGAAGATCTGCTCTTACAAGTGGAAGCAGTCTCCATCTTATTCTCTGAAGGTCAGACTAGAAAATGGAAGGCAAGGATGCATGCTGTCTTTCCTACAGCTTGGACACCTATCTGGTCCTCCTCCTGGAAGTCGGAGTTCTCAAGCCTTCGGCCTTGCACTAAATTTTGACACTGGTTTTCTTTAGCTTTCTAGCTTGTATACTGCACATTATGAATATTCTTATAATAAGCCCATAGTAAATCTCTCACATATCTGAATGTATATCTATATCTATCAATCCATCATTCAATCAAGTGATTGATCAGTCTATGTCTCCTGTTGTCCTGTTTCTCTGTAGATCCCTAACATAGAAGCTGTGATGAATGTCACTTTGCTCATCCCTATACTGTGATGGGTGACACTTTACTCACTTTTCTTCTCAGAGAAGAGGGCTTTGGGGAATAAAAGAGAAAGCTCATGCTCCAAATCTGTGGCTTCTTTGAAAGACCCTCAAGTCCTCTTGCTCCACCATTGGAAGGACAACCATAAACTCATAGATCCAAGTTCCCTGTGATAAGCAAATTCACCCAGGACTCCAACGGGCCCCATCTCCAGCCTGAACAGCCCCCGGAGTCCTGTCACATGTGCTGAGAGGCTCATCTGGGGCAAGGATTGGCCAGCGTCTAGGTCACTTTTCTTGTTGCTGAGACAAAATATCCAACACCCAAAGTTAAAGGAGGAAAGGTTTATTTGGCTCACAGTTTGTAGAGGTTTTAGTCCATGGCTGGCTGGCTTCAAGTCAGGGTGGCATGGCAGAGGGGCATCTAGGAGGAGAAATAGTTCTTGCCAGACAGAAGCAGCAAATAATCTGGAAATAACAAGAAGTGAGTGACCTGAGCCCTCTTTCTGTCTCTTATATCTTATCCAGGCCACCCTCCCTTAGGGCAGTAGTGCTCCCACTCTTGATCCTAGCATCACACCAGGAATCAATCCCAGCATCACATCCTTGATCCAAGCATCACATATCCTAGATTCAGCCACCTCTGAAAAAGCCCCACCTATGACCGCATGAAGCTTTGGGGGACATCTAGACACAAACCATTACAACCTGACAGGCACATACACAGCCCCAGGCACAATGTCCACACCTGCTCAGCTGTGTTGGGCAACCTCAGAGTGTTGCTTAACCTTGTTGGACCTCAGGGTCTTTACCTATATATGTAGGATCTACATTGTAGGCCATTTCTGCTTCTAATTCTTGGACTTCTGGAGACCATGAAAGGAGTGGTTCTGTGGGAATAATAAAATTACAATTGCATGCAAAGGATGCTTGCCAAAGCACACTGTACACAGTAGTGGCCAACTGCTGTAGAGGATCCAGGGCACCCTTTCCAGGCTAGGGTGGGGGGTGCACCCAGAGGGCAGTCTGCTAAAGCCTCTGTATGCTTTAGATTGTCACCCTCTTATTTACTTAAAAATCCATGGGAGGCTGTACCCTTTCTCAGGAGGGCATCCCCATCCAATGACAAATTGATGAAGGGTAAAAAAGGCAGGATAGCAGCTCTGTGGTGCCATTTGGGTTCCAGAACTCCTTGTGGGCCCTGGCTGAGGCTAGACCTCTGCGGGGTGCACAGCTCTGCCTAGCTTCTTCTCTGGCCCTCTCTTGCTTCACCCAAAACCTCACATTCCCCCTAACAGCACACCCTTGATAAATTACTGGCATAGGAGTCCAAGACAGTTTGGTTCTGGGAATCCTACCTGAACATCCCAACCTTCTGAGTCCTTTCAATGGCAGATGTAACAGGCTTTGCCCAAATCATTGTGTCCCAGTCTCTCCCAGGTGATCCCACTGTCCCCTTTCCTGGGACCCACCTTGGAACAAGAGGCATCTAGGGCCCAGAACCTGGATCACTCCTGCATGTTTTGTTCATATTCTCTTTCAAAAAACACATTCTCAATAGCTTTAATTTAATCAAAACATTCTTGACTGAGATCATTAAAGCTTCTGAGAGAGGCATTTAATTCTAAATTCACCATATCCACGGCGTAGCAGTTGAGTAACTGAAAAATCAACTTTATGTCATAATAGTTTGTTAGAATGTTTGTTTACTCTTCATCTGAGACATGCTAATTAAAACAAGAGGCCTTCACAAGCAATCCAGTTAGCAAATAGGATGGGTTAATAGATAAGGAAGGCTGGTAATTACAGGAAAGCCCGTATCCTTGCCCACATGGACTGGGTGTTAAGGGGAGACTGAAAAATTCCCACTGGGTCATGTCTACTCAATTGGACTCCACAAAATATATTTCTCTATCCATCTCTTCAATCATCAATGCATCTCTGGAACATCTCTGAGAGACATTCATCTTTGTTGGGTCTCATCTGTCACCGGATCTTCTAGAATTCATCTTGAAGGGAAGTGGCTAAGGACCCCAGTGAACCTCTATTTCATTAGGGTACAGCGATTTCCACTTTCCCGCAGACTTGATTGGAAAGGTGTGGTCCCCACTCCTGCTAGCACTGGCTCCTCTTGCAGGAAGCAGAACTGTCCTGGAAGTTCCTCACGAAGGCCCGGACCTGGATCAGCCTTGGGAGCCTTAGCCAGTACTCCCACCTTCCCACAGAAATAAGCCCCATATTCCAGATTCAGACTCAGGGGGTCTTGCTGCTGACCGAGAGTTCAGGAACACTTCCAAGTTTAGACACCTGAGGGCCAGGGGTGCATTTGCTACAGTGCTGAGCAGATCTGTGCCTGCGGTGACCTCTTCCAATGTGGCTTTCCACTCCATCTGGCCAGGTCTGCCTTTATGGATAATTGCACATACACAAGCAATTTTCCCTCCACTTCTCTTCCTTACATGTCCAAGGCCCATTACTCAATATCCTTCTGTAATGCTGCCCAGGAACCCTTGCTTCTGGCAATCTTCCCTCCATTCACAGCCTTGAGTGTTCAGGCCCATCTTTACCCTGGGGCCTGCAGGTCTCCCCCTCTCCCCTACCATGACACAAGGCCAGGCTCCTCACCTTCTGCCCAACTCCAAGATGGAAGAGGAGAAGAAATCATAGAGATTTGGAGGAAGAAAATAGGGACAGAAGATGTGATTGGAGCACTGTCATATGGCTGGTTGGAGGTCTAATCCAAGGTCATGTTGCTATTTTTAATGTCTAATCCACATTAAGATACAAATAACGATGAGCTGATTCCAACCATATTACTCATCTTTGTAAGTCCTGTGTTCTTTTTGTAAGTTCTCTTATACAGAGTTTCAGGCTTTCAGAAACTAAAAGGACTAATAAGGCAGATGCTACCATGATGATACTGTGATTGTATTTAATGTACATATGAATTATGAAAGCATAAAATAATGTGATAAAAATATTAAGAAAGTTCCACTTTGATGGGAAATTTGAAAATAAGTGACTATCAAAAATTACAGCGCTATGAACACAGTGGTCTTGAATCAGATATATTAAGCAGGTATGATTACCAGCTTGATAGGCTCAAGAGAGGCGTAGGAAATTTGGAAAGCACACTTCCAGGTGTATATGGGCAGTAATGGACCTGTGACCTTGGGAACTATATCTGGTCTCTAGCCTCTTCCTTTCAGGCCCTTCTGCCTGCTCTCTGCTTCCTAGATGCTATCGGTTGAGCAGTTTTCCTTTGCAGTGATGTTTCTACCTTGGAGACAATTGCCCATGGACTGAAATCTCTGAAACTGTGAATCAAACCTCTTTTCCTCTGAGTTGTGGATATCAGACATTTTGTCATAGCAATGGAAAAGTGACGGACAGTATATGAGGGCATTGACAAATTCTTATACTTGTTACAGTTGAGGTAGGCAAGGAACCCAAGAGCTCCTTAAGGGGGCAGATGGCATTATTTATGCCTGCTCTCCCCTACAGGCCTGGTAAAAATAATAGGGAGATGTTAGCCAGAGAAGAGAGAAGTGAATGATGCTCCCACTCTGAGGGCCTGCAGCTTCCTATGGCAGAGCTGGCTCTGAGCAAAGGCTTGTTGCCTCCCCATGCCTGGAACAAAACACTCCTGTGACTTAGGACCCTCTCCTGGAGGGGTGGGATCTGAAAGGTGTCTGATTCTCCAACAGGGAACACAGGCTCAATGCTAGAATATTTGGGGGTCTGTACACCAAAAAGGGAGAGGACAATAGAACCACGTGTAGCCAGCCAGAAAACCAAGACAGGGGTCTAAAGGAAGCATCTCCAGGCCAAGGACAGTTCCTGTCTCCTTACCACCATTAGGGAAAGTCTGTCCTGTGACCTCAGCCTTTTCTGTCCAGGAAACCCTGGCACTTTTAGTTGCCACACCAAAGTCACTTCAGTCTCTGTGGCCATTCTGCACTGATACTTGAAACCAACTGTCTCTTCACTCTCACTAGTAATTTATTGAGTGCTTAATATGTCTTAGGTTCTCCCCCTATTTCACAGATAACTGATTTAATTTTCTTAATATCTGTCTAAGGAAGGTACCTTTGTTCCTGTTTCCCAGGTGAGGAATGTAAGAGGTAAAGAGTTAACTCCCACAGCCATTCTCTAAGAGGTGGAGCTGGTTCTGAAAACCATTCTCCTCCAGACCACTTTTGCTGCTTTCCCTTCTCACCTCTGTCCTAGATTCCTAGTTGTGCACTTGTGCGGTTCCCCAGTCCACATGGTAACTACATCTTCTCGGGGTAAGCCCAGCAGTTAGGCCTGGAGGAGATTGCAAGTCACCCCTGAGATCTTCCACTGACCAAAGGTCACAGCAGCCACTACCACCCCAAGCCTCATAGCATCAAGGCTAACCCTTTCGGATGGACATGTGGCTCTTCACCACTCACGGAGCGCCAACCACTGCCTGGATCGCCTGGTCAGTTTCGTACACCAGGTCAGTTTCCTGCACCTCTCTAGGCCAAGCTGCACCTTTGCTTACTCCATCTCCTCTGCCTGGAGCTCCTCATTCCTTCTCTACTGCAGCAGAGTCCCTTTTTCATAGTCAAACTGAACACTAATCTCCCCTATTCCTGTGACCCTGGGGGCTCTTCTCTTCTGGTTTTCTGTGTTGGTTTTGGCAGCACATATAAATAATATCAGTATAAATGATATCAAGGAAGGATGCAGATTTGGAGTAATTCCACGGGCACTGAGAGAGTAGAAGGAGTAGGAGACCTGGATTTTGTTTTATTAATGTAAATTAATTCCAACTAATAAAACATTCTAAATTCCAAAGACAGCCTATCTTTCGGCTGAACGTGGGTTACGAACTATCGGTTTGCAACCTGCCTCTGCGAGCATGTTGGTGTGCATCTTCGCACCCCGTATCCAAGTCCAGATGGCCCTGCACCAGTCCCTCGACTTTTTACACGACTAACTTGATTTCGCCCAGTGGGAGCGCCTCCCTCCTTTTCAAGGGGGAGAAAAGTATAGCTGACCACATTTTCCTCAGCACTCTGGCTGTCAAGAATCGCATGGTCCAAACTGAGCTAAATCACAGATGTCATTTCTACCTTTAATTCTTCTTTTTTTCTAATGTTATGCTTTCCTTATATTACTTTTTTTTTTTTTTTTTGGTACGGGAGATTGAACTCAGGACCTTGTGCTTGCGAGGCAGGCCGCGGAACCACTGAGCTAAATCTCCGGCCCCATTTCCTTATACTTCTGTCTGTGCTAAACCATCTCAGAAATATCATGACATACATAGGGAAGAGTTAAATAAATGTATGAAGTAAAAAAGTTTTAGGGGGGTGATTTCAAAACTCATGAGGTCAGGGAGCATTCCCTCTCCTTTCCTTTGCTTGACCCATTTCAGGCCTAGCCTGGCATGTATACTTCTCAAGGCATTATTAAAGAAAAACATTTTTGGAAGAAGATGA